CATTTTTATTCCTTATTATATTATGACGTTTTCTGACATTTCTATGCTTTACTATACTATGACGTTTTTTGACATTTCTATGCTTTACTATACTATGACATCTTTGACTATGACGTTTTTGACATTTTTATGCCTTACTATGCTATGACGTTTTTTGACATTTTTATGCCATACTATACTATGACATTTTTTCACATTTTTATGCCTTACTATACTATGACATTTTTTCACATTTTTATGCCATACTATAATATGACGTTTTTTGACATTTCCATGCCTTACTATACTATGACATCATTGACTATGATGTCATTGACATTTTTATTCCTTACTATACTATGACGTTTTTCGACATTTTTATGCCATACTATACTATGACGTTTTTTGACATTTTTATGCCATACTATACTATGACATTTTTTGATATTTTTATGCCTTACATTACAATGACATTTTAATGCCATATTATACAATGTCATTTTTAGACATTTTAACGCCTCACTGTAATATGTTGAAATTATGGTCAAAATCATGAAAATGACATAGTATAGTGAGGCATAAAAATGTCATAAAAACATCATTATAGCAAGGCATTAAAAAGTGATAGTAAAGTAAGGCATAAAAACGTCACAGTATAATAAGGCAAAAAAAGTCATGAAAACATCATAGTATAGCAAGGCATGAAAAGGCATAAAAATGTCACAGTATATAACAGAATAAAAACGTCATAGTATTGTAAGGCATAAAAAGTCATGAAAACAACATAGTATAGTAAGGCATAAAAAGGCACATAAACGACATAGTATAGTAAGACATTAAAAGGCATAAAAACAACATAGTATAGTAAGGCATAAAAAGTCATAGTATACTAAGGAATAAAAAGGTATAAAACCTTCACAGTATAGTAAGGTATAAAAACATCAAAGTATAATAAGTCACAAAAAGTCATGAAAACGAGATAGTATAGTAAGGCAAAAAAACAACATAGTATAGTAAGGCATAAAAAAGCATAAAAACGACAATGTACAGTATGCATAAAAAGCATGAAAACATCGTAGAAGGCATAAAAAGTCATAAAAGCGACATAGTATAGTAAGACATAAAAAAGCATAAAAACGACATAGTATAGTAAGGCATAAAAAGTCATAAAAACGACTAAGTATAGTAAGGCATAAAAACGACATAGAATAGTATGGTATGGAAAGACAAAGACAAAGCATAGTTAAGCTTAAAATGGTCATAGTTTATTAGGGCACATAAAAAGGCATAAAAACAACATAGTATAGTATAGCATAATAATGTCATAGTATATTAGGGCATAAAAAGTCATACAAACATCATAGTACAGTAAGGCATAAAAACGCCACACAGTATAGAAAGGCATAAAAATGTCATAGTATAGTGAGGCATGAAAAGGCATAAAAACGACATAGTATAGTAAGGCATAAAAAGTCATAAAAACGACTAAGTATAGTAAGGCATAAAAACGACATAAAATAGTATGGTATGGAAGGTCATAAAAACGACATAGTATAGTAAGGCATGAAAAGGCATAAAAAGGTCACAGTATAGCAAGGCATATGAAGGCATAAAAAAGACATAGTACAGTTATGTATATGAATGCATAAAAAAGACAAAGTATAGTTAGGCTTAAAATGGTCATACTTTATTAGGGCATAAAAAGGCATAAAAATGACATAGTATAGAAAGGCATATGAAGGCATAAAAACAACATAGTAAAGTAAGGAATAAAAAGGCATGAAAACAACATTGTAAAGTAAGGCATGAAAAGGCATGAAAACAACAAAGTATAGTAAGGAAAAAAAAGCATAAAAGTCACAATGTATAGTAAGGCATGAAAAGTCATAAAAACGACATAGTATAGTAAGGCATAAAATGGCATAAAAACTACATAGTATAGTAAGGCATGAAAAGGCATAAAAACAACATAATATAGTAAGGAATATGAAGGCATAAAAATGTCATAGTATAGCAAGCCATATGAAGGCATAAAATCGACATAGTTTAGTAAGGCATAAAAAGGCATAAAAACGGCACAGTATAGAACGGAATAAAAACATCATAGTCAAGTGAGTCATAAAAAGTCACAAAAACGACATAGTATAGTAAGGCAAAATAACATCATAGTATAGTAAGGTATAAAAAATCATAAAAACAACATCGTATAGTCAGGCATGAAAAGTCATAAAAATGACATAGTATAGTAAGGCATGAAAAGTCATGAAAACGACATCGTATAGTAAGGCATGAAAAGTCATGAAAACGACATCATATAGTAAGGCATAAAAACGACATAGTATAGTAAGGCATGAAAAGTCATAAAATATCATAGTATAGTAAGGCATGAAAAGGCATAAAAACAACATAATATAGTAAGGCATATGAAGGCATAAAAATGTCAGAGTATAGTAAGCCATATAAAGGCATAAAAACAACATAGTTTAGTAAGGCAAAAAAACGTCCTAGTATAGTAAGGCATAAAAAGTCATAAAAATGTCATAGTATAGTAAGGCATGAAAAGTCATAAAAATCTCATAGTATAGTAAGGCAAAATAACATCAAAGCATAGTAAGGTATAAAAAGTCATAAAAACAGCATCGTATAGTAAGGCATAAAAAGTCATAAAAAAATGTCATAGTATAGTAAGGCATGAAAAGTCATAAAAATCTCATAGTATAGTAAGGCAAAATAACATCAAAGCATAGTAAGGTATAAAAAGTCATAAAAACAACATCGTATAGTAAGGCATGAAAAGTCATGAAAACGACATTGTATAGTAGCATAAAAAGTCATAAAAAAATGTCATAGTATAGTAAGGCATAAAAAGTCATAAAAATGTCATAGTATAGTAAGACATAAAAAAGCATAAAAACAACATTGTATAGTAAGGCATAAAACGGCATAAAAACGACATAGTATAGTAAGGCATGAAAAGGCATAAAAATGAAACAGTATAGAACGGAATAAAAACATCATAGTATAGTAAGGCATAAAGTCATAAAAATGTTATAGTATAGTAAGGCATGAAAAGTCATGAAAATGACATCGTATAGTAAGGCATGAAAAGTTATGAAAACGACATCGTATAGTAAGGCATAAAAAGGCGTAAAAACGACATAGTATAGTAAGACATAAAAACGACATAGAATAGTATGGTATGGAAAGTCATGAAAATGTCATAGTATAGTAAGGGATGAAAAGGCATAAAAAAGACATAGTACAGTTATGTGTATGAATGCATAAAAAAGACAAAGTATAGTTAGGCTTAAAATGGTCATAGTTTATTAGGGCATAAAAATGACATAGTATAGAAAGGTATAAAAAGGCATGAAAACAACATTGTAAAGTAAGGCATGAAAAGGCATGAAAATGACATAGTATAGTAAAGAAAAAAAGCATAAAATTCACAATGTATAGTAAGGCATGAAAAGTCATAAAAACGACATAGTATAGTAAGGCATGAAAAGTCATAAAAATATCATAGTATAGTAAGACATAAAAAGGCATAAAAAATACATAATATAGTAAGGAATATGAAGGCATAAAAATATCATAGTATAGTAAGCCATATGAAGGCATAAAATCGACATAGTTTAGTAAGGCATAAAAAGTCACAAAAACGACATAGTATAGTAAGGCAAAATACCATCATAGTATAGTAAGGTATAAAAAGTCATAAAAACAACATCGTATAGTAAGGCATGAAAAGTCATAAAAATGACATAGTATAGTAAGGCATAAAAAGTCATAAAAATGTCATAGTATAGTAAGACATAAAAAAGCATAAAAATGACATTATAGTAAGACATAAAAAAACATAAAAACAACAATGTATAGTAAGGCATGAAAAGGCATAAAAATGAAACAGTATAGAACGGAATAAAAACATCATAGTATAGCAAGGCATGAAAAGTCATGAAAATATCATAGTATAGTTAGGCATGAAAAGGCATAAAAACAACATAATATAATAAGGCATATGAAGGCATAAAAACAACATAATATAGTAAGGCATATGAAGGCATAAAAATGTCATAGTATAGTAAGCCATATAAAGGCATAAAATCGACATAGTTTAGTAAGGCAAAAAAAAGTCCTAGTATAGTAAGGCATAAAAAGTCACAAAACGACATAGCATAGTAAGACATAAAAAAGCATAAAAATGACAGTATAGTAAGACATAAAAAACATAAAAACAACATTGTATAGTAAGGCATAAAAAGGCATAAAAACGACATAGTATAGTAAGGCATGAAAAGGCATAAAAATGAAACAGTATAGAACGGAATAAAAACATCATAGTATAGCAAGGCATGAAAAGTTATGAAAACGACATCGTATAGTAAGATTAAAAGGCATAAAAATGACATAGTATAGTAAGACATAAAAAGTCATAGTGTAGTAAAGCATGAAAAGGCATAAAAACATAATAGCATAGTAAGGCATAAAAAGGCTTAAAAAGTCATAGTATAGTAAGGCATACAAAGGCATAAAAACGAAACAGTATAGTAAGGCATGAAAAGGCATAAAAACATAATAGCATAGTAAGGCATAAAAAGGCTTAAAAAGTCATAGTATAGTAAGGCATACAAAGGCATAAAAACGAAACAGTATAGTAAGGCATGAAAAGTCATAAAAAGGACATAGTATAGTAAGGCATAAAAAGTCATAGTATAGTAAGGCATACAAAGGCATAAAAACGAAACAGTATAGTAAGGCATGAAAAGTCATAAAAAGGACATAGTATAGTAAGGCATAAAAAGACAAAAAACAACATCATATCATCTTATTTTTAAATAATTGGAAAAATAATTGTCAAAACCTCAGTGCCCAAAAAATATCCCTGCCATTAAAATGAGAAAGAATGAGAATCAGAGAAATTTACTTCCCAGTTAGTTTCAACTTATGATCTTATGGTGTAATTTTTTTTTTCTTTTAATTTACCTAAGTGAATTGAATTCTGATTCTTCTTATTCCAGGTTCAGCAGTTCCAGGAAACAGCTGCAAGGCTTCATGCCCAGTACGCAGGGGACAGGGCAGTCGCCATCCAGGCCACAGAGCAAGAGGTGGTGGAAGCCTGGAAGGGCCTACTGGACGCCTGTGATGGCCGCAGGGCGCAACTGGTGGACACAGCTGAGAAGTTCCGCTTTTTCACCATGGTCCGAGACCTGATGGCCTGGATGGAGAGCATCATTCAGCAGATAGAGACTCAGGAGAAACCCAGGTGAGCACACCTCGTACAAAGACCTCTGTTTGAAATCCATTCCATAAAACATTTTTCTTCTTCATTAAAATATCAATATCCAATATTGATTTGGAAGTTGCAAATTGAATATCGCCTGCTTTTTTCTCTCTCTAAGGGAAATCTGATTGGGGCAACTGAAAAACAAACCTTGAACCGTGTCCTTTGATTGTTTGAGTTAGATCAGTTGTTACTGAGTATTGAAAAACCAGCTTGAAACCTTGACCTTTGAGTAATTGTCTTACTTTTTATTCACATTAATTCAGTTTATATTGAGACTATTTCTGCATTTATAGGTACATATACAACAGATATCTTTGCAAATCATGCCATCTATATATTATGAATTGAATACCTTGTTAAATAGAATATTTTTCATATTTAAAGGATCAAATAAATATATAAAGATGTCTTTCACATTATACACTGCGATCAATTAAGTTTGAAAAAGATGTCTTTTTTAATATCATAGCTTTAGTTCTTCTGCTTATTGGTCAGTAGCTCTTTGCCAAATTGGTTTACTTGTAGTTAAACAATAATTAAAAGTGATATGAGAGTGTCATGATAACCTTAATGAAGAATATTCAGGTTATTAAAGGTGCACCATATGATTTTTTTAATTGTCCCATTGCAGAAAAAGTTGATTCACCCTTAAAAGCAATGTTTAGCCATGCAGAAAAGATCCTGTTTATTATTGTTGCAGTTCTAGGTCTTACCAACAGAGGTAGATAAACTTCATAGATTACCTGTTCACTTCCTATCCCTCCCCCCTGTGCATTAGGGATGTCTCATCAGTGGAGCTACTGCAGAAGTACCACCAGGGGATCCGCTCAGAGATTGAGGCCAGGGGAGTCAAATTCAGCGATTGCATGGATCTCGGAAAGGCCCTGCTGACACGCAAGCACCGAGACTCTGCTGAGGTGAGGCTTCAGCAGCAAAGACAGCTTTTTTTCATTCTCAGCTGGGCCTCAAATTGCTGCTTTCATTAGATTTAATTACTTTTCTGGGAGTGATTGTTCTTGTCTGGCACAATGGAACCAATTGGATTGCTACGAAAGAAAAAATTCCACTCATCTTACACTCATCAGGGAGACTATAAAGCAAACACTAATTAGAAATGGAAAAGCCAAAAGAATTTAAATGAGCAATTGACCCCGGCCTGAATTTTGCGTTCCGTTAATTACTTCACAATTCAAATTCTTAGAGGATAATAGCCAGTCTTGGAGCTGAGCTGTTTAATAATGCTGATATGTAACTGCGACTGTGTAACTGCTCATGTCAGATCAAAGAGAAGCTGGTGCAGCTGATGGAGAAACGGAAGGAGATGATGTTCAAGTGGGATGACAGATGGGACTGGCTCAGACTCTGTGAGTAAAGCTACACTTACCTTACTGGCCCTTACTCAAAACTAAAAACAAATCCTGAATATACATTATTCCTTTCACTTTGTTTTCACAAATCCAACTTAAATGCTAAAGGCCACAGAGCAAGACTCACTGATGTGGAGGCTCATATAAGCACAAACCATTGCAGATGAAAGAGTGGCTTTTGTTCGTCAAAGTACTCCAATAAGCATAATTGTTTAGCAAATAGTTAAAAGCAGTCTGAGATTAAAAAAAAGAAGCTATATAATGTATTTCAGACCTTAACCCCTAACCTAACATAACTGAATTCTAATGATAACCATCAAACCAAGTCTTGGCTCTAAAATTGATTGGGTAACCAGCATTTTGTTTGACAAATGGGAGGTGTGTCTCCATAAAGTGTATAAACAGTACAGTTCAAATCATGGCTGATGCCTGATGGTTTCATTTTTAAAATGGTGACACTGCAAGATGAAAACTACATAATTACCCCTGTCACATCTAGTGCTGGAGGTGTGTCAGTTTGCACGGGATGCCTCCGTGGCGGAGGCCTGGCTGATCGCTCAGGAGCCCTACGTGACCAGTAGAGACCTGGGCCACACTGTGGACGAGGTCGAGAAACTCCTCAAGAGGCATGAGGCCTTTGAGAAATCCACTGCCACCTGGGAGGAGCGCTTCTCTGCACTGGAGCGCCTCACGACGGTACGGAGAAATCTTAGTCATTATTTACAATAATTTAATCACAAACACATGAATCATAACACTGTAGCTGCTGGAAAACACAGGATGAACATGTTGGTCTAGGCAGAAAAATATTAATTGGTAAATGTTACGTGAAGGGGTTAATAACAAATTCAACACCTTAACAGTTTTGCCCTATTTCCCCCCTAAGTAGCTTTAAGATTGACAAAAACCTTTTATTCCACCCTGTTTGCTTACTGTTGTTTACACTCAGTGAAATATTTAAGCCCATTTTTTTTTTATTGCTCGCACCATTCAAGCAAAGAGACCTACTGAATGTGTTTAAATTTGTAGATGTCCTGTAGATCAGTTTCACATTTCCCTTCACTAGAATTTAAAATGAAGTTTGATAAATGTTTGGCTGCCCACCAGCTGGTCAATGAATATTAATGGGTTAAAAAAAAAAACAAATGTAAATATTAATGATATCTGAAGATGATAGTGGTAATGTATCCAATTTTATTAACTAAATTAGAGCTAGCAATGGATTGAGTGCTGATTCCACTTTAATGCTGTGTTGCAGCTGGAGCTGTTGGAGCTGAGGAAGCAGCAACAGGAGATGGAGCAGTTCATTAAAGATGAGCAACGCTCTGATAAGGAGAGCAGGTACAAACATGCACAAAAACACACAGGCGTTCAAATGCACAAATACATTGTATGCACAGGCATGCATAGAATGAAACAGAATTATTCGGTGCCAATCATCATGAAAGTCTCTATGAAAACCTAACCAGTATTGTGATTTAGAATTAAAGAGAGGTGGACAAACACATTGTTGGCTGCGGTCTAACCAGCCTTATCCTTTAAACTTCACAAACAAGTCACACACACACGGACTCACCCGCTGCTCTTAAAGGTCTCTAACACAGACCCTATGCTGCCCTCTTTCCTCCAGGCGAGAAGACACTGGCTTTGTAGAAGAATCTTCACAGCTCTACACTATTGAGGAACAAACTCTGGTTAGTAACTGCGCTCACTCTGCTCCTGTCCTCTCTGTTTTATAGTGCTGTGACCTCTGTTTATGCAGCACACTGGAATTTTTGAAAAAAGAAAACCAGCCTCTCTTTTGTGGTGTTTTACTAACTTCTGAATTTAAAAGAGCCTCCTTGACTTTTTTACTCTTAAACAAACCACATTTGTCTGTTGAGAATCTTTTTTGAGCACTTTTAGGAATAAGTAGAGTCAAGGGCACACTCAGCTCCGCCACCTCTCTAAACAAGCAGGCTGATCTCTCTTATAATTTTTCTCCATTCTTATTGTGTTGGTCTCTATTTCCATCTTTTCTCCTCCAGTCTGGTTCTGGTGCAATCGAGCCCAGTTCGGGTCTGCTGGAGGGGGCTGCGGGCGATTCCACAGTGCCCATAGAGTCAGAGATGAGAGAGAGTGGTTCTCTGGAGCTGGAGCCCTCTGTCTCAGTAGTGACCCCGAAAGAACCGGAGAGGGCTGCCACCATGCCCGTGGAGCCCCTCAGAGCCCACACTGTGCTGCTGGAGGGCACGCTGGGCCGCAAACATGACGTGGAGGGCTCAGGAAAGAAGGCTTCAAACAGGTGGATAAGAAAGACTACAGTGCTGTTCACTCCATATTCCATTCCAGGCGTTCATTTGCTTCCATTTATTTCTTTAAGTCTAATTTACTAGCACACTGTGTGACTTGCTTAGACTCACAGAGTGTAGACTTTTTAAATCAATCTGCACCAAAACATCATTACTGTGCAACAAAAAAGTAACAAAAAATGAATGCAGAGTTTTTAGTCTTCCAATGGTGGCCTGGAACGGTAGGAAAAATAACAAGCATATTAAACAGCAAAAAGTAAAGTAGGCCTATACAGGATTTGTATGAAAGGAGCTTAAGCTTAAAACACATTGGTGTAGTCATTTTAAAAGACAGCACTTATTGGCATGTACAAGCACTACATAAATATTTGATAAATGGGTTGTCCTGAAAAATAAAGTAAAAGCTAACTTTTCACTGCTTGCATGCCTACCAGCAGTCAGTTTTTTGATGACTAAATCACTTAAGTCCTCAGTAAAGGACTAAGCCGATTTATGGCCAAAAAATATCACATACAGTATAAAACCTAAATAAGACCTCTGTTAAATAAAGCCCAACTTGGTCAGGAAACAAGACAAGTCCAAATAAAACTCTACAAGCAGCTTGTATTCTAGTCAGATGTGAAACTGAAAAGTGCATGTGAACTGAATTACTTCAGGTATTTTAGATGTGCACAGTTCAACATGGAGCTGATGAAAATCCTGCGATGACATTTTGATATCAGCACATGCAGATACTGTTTGTTCACAGCTGTAAAACAAAGTATCAGTGATTTATGAGTTCAGCAGCAATACCAGAAATCTTAACATCTACTTCTCAATTTAAAAGTTAGTGTAAATAATGATGTAAGTGGGATGAACTCTGTTGTACCCACCTTTTTAAGATGATTAAACATCTGTTTTCAACATAAAAAGTAGCTGTAAGTCAATTTTGTTTATACTCAAAAGCAACCCAAAAAAGTTTTCCCCTACCACATGACTGCTGTCTGACAGAGGCTCAGGCCAGGTTACTTTTGATCAAAGTTGATGAAAATTGATTAAAACTTGCATTTGTTGCGGACCAGTGAGCTACTTCAACTGTTCTCCTTACTTCTATTTAACTGAATTAATTCACTTTGCATTATTGTGAGAAATTAGCCTCCTGAAATGATCAATATTGAAGTCCTCCATTGTCTGCGCCCCCCCCACCCCCGCCTCTCCACTCTCTCCTCACTCTCAGGTCATGGAACAACTTGTACTGTGTGCTGAAGCCAGGTCAGCTCTCAGCCTATAAGGATGCCAAAAGCTTTGGACATGGAACGACGTATCACGGCGAGGACCCCCTGTCCCTCAGTAACGCCAGCTGGGAGATCCTCACCACCTACAAGAAAAAGAAGCATGTCGCCAAATTACAGTGAGAATACATTCTCATCATCTTCAGTTTTTTCAGTTGTCTCACTATTAAAGGAAGAGTTTCACATCTTGGGAAATATGTTCATTTGCTGCTTTCTTGCCAAGAGTTAGAGAGGAAGATTGGCTTCAGTGGGGGGGGGGTGAGACGTCTTGTGCTGTACGATACCGTGATTTGCATTTTTTATTTTTAATTTACTTTACTTTAATCAATGAAGAAACTAATTGGGAGATTAATCGATAAGGAAAATGATTGTTAGTTGCAGCCATAATTTCACTCACTTTGCCATCATTTTCTACTTTAAACTCTTTCAAATATACAGAAACAAGTCAAGGTTAGGCATCTTTTACTTAGATTATTGAAAAATCTGAATGTGGGAATTTTCGTTTTACTCTAATGGTCCAAACCATAAATTCAAACTTCACTCTCTTTTCTCTCTCACAGTCTTGGTGACGGCAGTGAATATCTGTTCCAGTGTAAAGACGAGGTGAGTTTTTAAACAAGTCGATAACAATGAATGATTTTTAACAGCTTTCCATGAAGCACATGATCCCGCATGTAAAGTATTTAATCATGTAATCTTTGACATTATGTAAAGCAGTGGTCAGAGAATATAATACTGCATACAGAACATATATATTTACATTTCAGTGTGACCTCCTTGTCCATGTCTAAATGATTTTTTGAAATTATTTATGTAAGTAACTGACATAAATTAAGTTATTCACATTTCCTTCTGAATTTACCCTACGGGGATCATTAAGTTTTACAAATTAAAATAATTCACAGCAAGGTTGTTTTTATATACATTACCTTGAATTAGCCTTTCAGAAAGTTTCATTGTTAAAAGCTGGACCACCTTTTACTCAAAACGACCAAGAGACAAAAACACACACTGTCCCACTGGAGGTAGACTTCCCTTTGTAAGCTGTGGTGTGTGTGTGTGTGTTTTTGTGTTTAATTTCAGGAGGAGCTCCAGCGTTGGAGCCAGGCCATGGACAAGGCCGTTCAGCCCCTGGCAGCTGAGGAAGCGTCGGGGCCCTCAGGGGCCAAAGCCCACAGCCTGCCCCCTCCCTCCTCCTCAGCTGCCCTCCCTGAGCCCAGCTCTGCCAAGAAAGACAAGGAGAAGAAATTCAGTCGCTTTGCCAAGAAGAAGTGAAAGGAGATGGATGGGCCATCGGGAGGGGGGGTTGCCAAGGCAACCTGGAAAGAGAAAGTAGTATTTGTGTACAATCAATCGGAGCGAGCTTTTTATCACTAGATTTTTTATATTATTTAGCGAGAATTAACATGAATATTGTAGTTTAGGTTAAAGCCATCACTCTTCTGCCTGTATTTAAGTCAGTGTATCATTGCAAAGGTCCACTCTTTTCTTTGTTCTTTTTAACAAATGCCAAATTCAAAGCATCAAATGAAAGCACAGGAATGCTCCTTTCACACTCAACCAAAGAATGTTTGTAAAACTTTTGTTGTGTTACTTTTGCTGCAATTTTAGCTTTAGTGAGGCATGCTTTGATACAGCTATGTACGATATGAAGGCCTGTAACGAACGTAGGGTGAGTCAAGAGTACTGAAGCGTACTTTTATTAATCTGCCTTATAAAATGGTTGTGAACTGTAATACTGTGCTGTTTGAATTTGGAGCACTAAATGCTACTTAAAGGAATTAAGAGTGAATTTTAACGGGCTTTAAAATGCTTTGTAAATGCGGTGTAAAGACTTGGTGATGATCAAACCGTAGCGCAGTGCTGTACGGTGCACATACACACCAAGTTTAATTGCAGGTATGCAAACTAAATGCTCTATGCACTGTGAAGGGTTTGACTGTTGAGATTTTTAAATTGGTACGATCTGACGACATACGAGCTTGTCATGTGACACCACAATCAGTCCGTTTTGAATATAGACTATATTCTCAACTGAGCTGTGGCAGTAGTTATTTCTGTGAACTTGAAACATATTCAACACTTGTGTATTGAACCCTAAATTTCATATCTATTCATTAACATATATACATAGACAGTATATATATCTACAGATGCATGAAGTATGTTTTACGTTAGTTTGATATGGTGCTATTGTGATATTTTTGAACCTTCAATCAAGATCAACTTGACCTGCCTTACTTGTCTTCAACTTTGGCTTGTAGTAACACACAGGAAAATGTACTCTGTTGGTATAAACAATATCTGAGGGGTGTTTCATAAAGTTGGCTCAGAAAAGAAGGTCTTTTTTTGGAAAGCCTGGCTTCAAATGAGCAGAACAAACTCCACTAGGATTAATCTGTTTTTCCTAAAGTCAAGTCAATCATGGCTTTAAAACAACAACCAGAAACATCAAGCACTGATCACATCAGTTCACAAGAATGAAAATGGGCATGTGAAGACAAAACTGTGATGTTTGCAGCCACAGAGCAGCACATATTTAAATAATACAGAGAGTAAAATATCACAGCAAAAACTAACAAAACTACCATCAAGGAGACAGAAAACAACTTTTAGCGTAATGTTGTGAGTCAGTGCTATCTGTGCTAAAAAATAATGTAGATTGACAAGATGCAATACCATTAAATTTAAAAAAATCTGGTCATTTATTTTTTGCAGGAAATTTAGGTAATTGGCATCCTTTAGAAAAACGAAAGCTCTAATCCTGACGTAAAGTTAAGCCTGAAAAGATGAGTTTCCATGGTAACTCAGGCAAGACTTGGATGACCGTGGATGCATGACTTAGCAGACCAATCCGACATGAGCCCAGCGGCCCAAAGACTCAAAGCCTTTTTGAAGTCAATCAACAACTACTAAAAGATGCAAAAATGATCACAAATGGCCACAAAACAACTACAGAGAGAAACACAACGACAACAACAGGAAGCAAAAAAAACACAAATTGTCTACAGAGACACAAAACAACTACAAAGAGATGCAAAATGTCAATTCAGTGACACAAAAAGACTTCACATGACTTGGCAAAATTAGTTTTGTCTCTTTCAGTCTAAGGGTCTTGCTCCAGTGTAGGAAAGGTGGGGGCTTATTTACATGTCTGTGCCCAGAGGCCTGTTTTTTATTTATCCAAGCTTATTTAAACCCCCTTTGTGAAAAGATGAGCCCTACTGGCCTTGTTTACCTGGCAATCTTTATAAAACACCCCTCTGGTTTCACAAGCTAGATGTTTATTTACCAGAAAACCTATCTGCTATCATTTGTATCTACAGAAAAGAAAAACCCTGGACCACTATTACATTTTTTACCGTACCAACCAAAGTCTAAGACAAGCTGTGGGTCAGATGAATCTTAACCGCTTTTCCAAACCACACGACAGGACCAGGTATTCTCTTTATCTAAGGCGAAGATCACACAGTCGCAGTATGGAGCTGAGGGAATGTGTCTTTACTCTGAATGTAAAGGAAGAAGTAATAAGGAAGAGTGAGAATTTGGTACATTTAAGAGTATAGAACAATAAAGCCATTATAGAATAATACATTTTAATCGATATATGCATACAGGAAATATAGAGTATGTACAGTATATGAAATTTCATTTATAAGTGTTAATTTGTCACCAGGATGGTGGCTCTCACACACTTTCACACTGCCGTCTTGCCTTGTACAGCGGGCTCTGTCCCTGAACTACGCTCTAACTCAAGTGACCTCATTGAAATGATGGAAGTCAGGTGTAGAAAGATTGACGAGACTGTTCAGCTCGAGAGTTTTCCAGGAAATGTGGTAGCATCATAATGATCTCTCTCTGGGTTATTTACATTTACGAAGGAACAAAAGAGTTATTAAATCTATTATCTTCTCATGGCCGTCACAAACAAGTAATACAGATGTTTTTGTGAGCAGAGGGCCAGCAGAGCATTATGTCTGTGCTAAAAGTAGTCAAATGTTTCTCTCATAAACACACCTTGAAATGGTTTGGGAAACTTGCGTCACATGTATTCAGTCTTGGTTTTTAATCGGTCACTATATCTGTGGTATCTCAGACTCTGACACTTCCTATTCTCTCACCTCCATCCACTTAGTTTATTCCTCCTCCTTCCTTACCTGCCTTTTTTCTGTTCAGTGGTTTTTAATCTGCATTTTGTACTCTCTAGCTATGTAAAATATCCAAAAATGTTGACAGGAAATATCAAATACATTTTGAGAGAATAAAGTTTAAAATAAACTCCTGAAACTATCCAGTTTGGGTTTATTTATTGACCTCTTCCTTTGTTAAATTTTGAAATTCATGGCCACAGTTGTATCTTTGTCGATTTTTAATGAAAACCAATTTAATTCTATTTGTTAATACATTAAAAAGGTGCAATAACATGCATTTGAGAATTGTTTTATTGAGTACAAACAATTTAACAGAGGCAGGCATGAAACAAAAGGCATTTTTACTTTGTTGAACAGTCATCCGTTCACTGAGCTAATTTTAGATAAGACCAGCTGCATATGAAAATATTCAAAATAGACAAAACTGTTGTATTTACATTCCAGTGGCTGTTGGTAAAACAATGAATAAACAGCCTCAAGACAGCGAGGCAACCTTAGGCTAGACTAATTAGATCTCAGCTGACAAGTAACAGGCTGAGGATGATCACTTATAGCAATACAAAGCCCTGAATAACAGCTCATTTCAATCTTTACAAACTCAATAGGTGTACGCCTGCAGCAGAGCATACAAATTATAATTCTTCTTCAAAACAAATAAGCCAGAAGATGCATACCAGAGATATTTTCAGCATATTGTATTACTTTATCATTAGCCAATTTCCCACAGTGAGGCCTTAACAGAGCCTGCCAGGACTTATTCTGCTTCTACATGTGCCCCTTAAACAACATTCATTTACATGTATATTTTTGCGTCTCGCTGCCAGCAGTAATTTTTCAGCCTGGCTGCAGCTTTGACAAAACAAATTATGCTTGCCATCATCAGATATTATCATTTTTACAGTGCCTCTGCTCTGAAAACTGGCTATTTACAGAACAGGTGCAAGAGGAGCTGTTTGTGATACAGTGGCTGTTACAACACAGCCATGGACCATCCACAATGACTTGACGGGGTTCCTGCACATTCTCCCGTTTATAAATTCCACTGTTTTCCAGCCTCATTTCTTTTAATCTTTTTAATTTTAGGTCAGTATAACAAAACGGCTGCATATGCCATGATGACAATGACCTAGTGAGCTAATATGAGAGATGATAGTGCATTAAATCTAACAATGCACAGCCATGTGTTTCAAGACTGAACATTTGTTTTCATACTTTTACAGTCAATTATTAAACTTGCGGAAACTAATTTTCCACACATTACCGGGCTCATGTAGGAACCCTGCCTAGGCTGTTAGTCTCCTCTTGGGTGCTATAAATCTCTATTAACCAGGAGGCGACGAAGAAAGAAGAATGAAATTAGATTAACAGAATGACTATAGGCAATTAATAAACAGCTACAGTATGTTTCGGTATTTACATCAACACGGCGGTCAGAGTGAAAAACCTCAAGTCACACAAAATATGAAGTACAGCAGTTGATCCTCTGATGAAAAATTATTCAGCCACTGTTACGTTTCCCATATTCAGCGTTGTTATAAAGTGAACTAGATGCTTTAGAGGAGGTTATGATTAACATTCCTCATGATGCTTACTGACCCTCCTTCACATTTGAAGGAAAAGTGATTGCTGTACATAAAATTTCTTAACACCAGGTCAGCGCCTTATAATGTTCTTACAAACAGTTACAATAACCTTGACTTCTAATCAGTCAGAAATTTTGAAAATAGCATTAAATTGCTCTCATTCAGGGGCAGATGCTTTGAATTCCAGCAGTAAAGGATTTGTCATGACTCATTCCAAAGCACAACCTTTGATATTTTTTGAAATAGATTTTACATCTGAAATGGCATAAATGACATGGGAACAAAGTGTTAAAAAAACGACAACTTTATTCACAAGTCATTTCTGCTTCATAAAGAATAATTAAATAAGCATATCATCTCAAAATAATACACGATACAATTAACATTATTACACATTGAACCAATGAGGTTTTGAAAAACAACACATTTGTTTCAGAGTGAGGACTTTGTTTTATGATTATACTAGATGCAGCACTATCAAGACAGGACCAACAGGGGAATGATACATAAATTATTGGTGTGCTGTATATCACTAAAAGACAGCTTATGACCATGGATCATTGACCTCATCCATATATACCAGAGATGCACACACACACAAACAGAGACAGTTCATAGTTCTTGACTTTAAGAGAGAAAGGCCAACAGGGAAAAGAAAAGCAGCTGACCCGTGCTACTTCCCTTCCTGTGATTGCTGTGATGTGATACAACAGGTCTGGTGAGTATTTGGTATCAAACAGCAGTGATAGGCAGTCAGTGACTTGCTCTTTGGTGCAGTTTCTGATGCCCACACTGCTTCCCCAAGTCCAGCATGACTATGAATACACACGTTTAAGGGTTTGTCGTGGTGGCCAATTTATACAATGTAGATATGTTTGTGTATTCTATTTACATCTTAGTGCAGTAAAGGCAGGCACACTGCTGACAAAAATGTCCTCCCAGAGTGAATTTCTTTGTGTGTGTGTGTGTGTGTGTGTGTGTGTGTGTGTGTGTGTGTCGACAGAGGCTCAAGGTTGATGGATAAAATTGGCAGAAGCATAGTTCCTTGTCTACTTGATGAGCTTGTTGGCTCTCTGGTTGGCTTCATCAATGCGAAGGTGGTTCATGTCCGCCTGAAAGAAAAAGACGGAACAGGTGAAAAGGGGCAGTTATGCAAACATCCACCCTGTTTCCTTTTATTTAGCAATTCACTATTCACTTCAAACGATTTTAAAAACAAAAAAAAGGTTCTCCGTGGGGTGTTTGACCTCTAGTGATGAGTGACGTGATACACAGTCCTGCCAATGGTTTGACAGTGTTCCACTGATCTACAGGTGGAGGTATGCCAAAATACGCGGCAGTACGCCAACAAAAGGTGGGGAAGAAGAAGACTGCTACTCAGTAAACATGGAGGTAATCAAGGCAGGATTCAAAACCTTAAGAAAAATTAGCTCTCTTTTATGAGGAAGGAAACCGAATTGCCACCTTTGTTAGACCGTAATGTAACACAACTTTTGTTTGTTGACAAGTTAATTCCACAGAGCACCTTTAACTCCAATGCATTTACTTATTAAACCCAATTACCCAAAACCTACTCCTTTAAAAAGGTGGCCTTTGGAGTTTTCTTGTCTCTTGTGACCTGAAAAGGTCTGTTTACATTCACACTGTAATTCAATGTGTGTGTCCTTGAGGCCTAACAAACATTTTGAATGAATGTCCTTCCTCATAAAGCATTTGCAAAACTGGTTTTAAAAAGTATTTTAAATCATCCATCCATGTTTGTTTGCTGGCAGTCGTCTTCTTTCCGGGTTACTGCCATCAACTGTCAGTCAGTGAAACAGTGTAATTTCACAACACAATGCACATTATATAAACAAAGCGGGAACCCACTTGTAAAAACATTGCCAAAAGTGGTACTCCAAAGAGTACCTTTAATCATCAAGCTTGATGTGATGAATAGCAGAGAAAACAATATTATGTATTTCATGAGTGAAGCTGTTTTTCAAACACAACTCAGGTAATCCTCCTTAGTCCCTAAAGGGAGTAAATGTTCTACTAATTCTGACTGGGAGCTTCAGCAAATTACTGTGAAACGACTGAAATGAATCTCAGACTCTTACCTTCTCAGTGATGTGGTCGATCTGTTTGTTTTGCTTGTCTATCTCACTGCCCATGTCCATAGCCATATTTTTCAGGTTGCCAATAATGCTGCCGACTGCATCCAGATTCTCTTCCATCTCATCCTCCCGTGCATCGTTGGTTATCCTGTACCACAGTCACACAATAAGTTTTTCGTTGACAAATGGTCTTTTAAATGTGTCTCAATCTGTCACATGTGACTCGTGCTTCTGACAAAACCACAGTAAAAGAAAGATAGGAAGCAAAATGAGCAGGACCCAACCTCTTGATGTACGGGCCTGAAGGTGCTGAGGCGTTCGCCTGGGCAGCCTGGCCGTTGCGAACACCCGATGGCTGCCTTGAAACTACTTTTGAGCCACTGCTGTCACCTTCGCCTTCTCCTCCTCCTCCTCCTCCCCCAATACCCCAGGTACGCTTGTAACGTGAGTCGTGTTCAATAGATGTCACCCTGAGGGAACAAACCAGAAAATCCAGATGTGTGACAATAAAAACTAAACTAGAAGACTTTACTTACTTACTTTACTTTTAATATAAAATCAGCTAAAGTGAACTATGAATAAAAGCGTCAAAAAGAGAAGTATAAGACTACGTGTCCACCATTACTATAGTCACAGATGTCCATTAATCATAATATTAAAAAAAGATTCCCTACCTTATCTTTTGGTAATCATCAAAGTATCCTCTTCTCCAATGTGAAAGCATTTTGGGAAGATTTGTTTTTCATGTTTAGAACCAGATATGGGATTATTATGCACACACACTGACACTGCATATCGATATGGTTTGATGGAGAGAGTTTTGAGTTTGCTCACCACGGAGCACTGCACCTGTCACGTCAAGAAATTGGTAGGAACACTGTTCACGTTCCTTATCTATTCATAAACCATTAGGGGTTTTCATGAATTGTATCAGCAATCTTTTGAGCAATAAATACACATTTGATAAGCAACTCTGTATTTTTTTTCTCCCCATGTCACGTTCTGCTACTACCAGCCACATGTGGCTGCAGTTCATGCTGCGTTAATGTGAAATCACCCTGATGGATCGCAGTATCATCATGGAAGCGTTCAACCCCATGATAATAGAGCTGAGGTGAAGTAGAAGGTGTTTTTCCTAGTTCCCATTTCAAATTTGTCTTCATTTTCTTTAAATCCTTAATGTTATTGAAGATAGAAATATGGCACTCTCCCAGATAGTGGAACAATCATAGGTCGATAGTATGACCACCAGTTTTAATTATTTCAGCTTTGTTTCTGAGAAATCCTGCATTGTTCTGTCAGTCTGCCGTGGCAGACAGCTTGAAATACGGCAGTACCCTTCAGCATAGCTGTTGTTATCGAGAAAAAAAACAGGCAGAGGTGGGAATCAGAGCTGTGGTAAATTAAAGAGCTTCTATGTTGCAGTTAGGAACAAAACACAGCACAAGAGTTGCTGAAGTCTTCCAGAACTAACTCAGAATCCACAAGTGGATTGATTTCAGCTAGAGATTATATTATTAGTTTTCTCAGCACTGTAATCTTTAGCATCTGGCAGCTGTTAGCAGTGCCCCTAAAAGAATTCTAAGCTCGGTAGGTGTATGTTCCTTCCAAAAATGCTCCTTGGGAGTTAAAGTTAACTTCTTACCTTACTTTTTATATAAACACAAGCCTTCAACTTTTTTATACAAAAAAATCAGATAGATTGTACCACAGCTGTTCATCTTTTGGCAAAGCCATAGAAAATGTTCCAAATGTTAGTCACCTAACATTGCCCATGGATTAAAACTTAAGTTATGACAACTCCTCCTTTGCAACACAATACATAATAAAAAAAAATAAACAAATCAAAGTGAAATATACTGAGAATCAGTTGTTTACACAGCTTCTTTGCTTGCTATTAATACCATTGGAAAGTTTGGTCACAACTATTTGTCAAAAATCAGCCACATACTTAAATAATCAAGAACAGAGCACACAATAAAGTTGAGAAAAGCGTGATCTCATAACTGGCAATAAACAGTGGTGTGCATCCAAAAAAACCACAACAGCGATTTGGAGGCTTCAGCAGCTCTGAGTGTACAGTGTACCTGTCACAGGGGCAGACACAGAGGCCGCAACACTTGGAGAGATCGGTGAGGTTTTTCTCAGCCTGTCGCATGTCCTGGTTGATCTGGTCCATGCCCTCATCCACACGCCTCAGCTGCTCTGAAACACAAAGACAGGCACACACACCAAGTCAGACTCTCCTTTTTTTTTTGTATCTAGGTAAATTTTATACACTAGGAATAGATCTTATCGTTTTGTTTATAGCCTTTATTTATATTTTTAGAATATATTAGATTAATCTTAATGATCCCTTTGAGGATTGTTAAATTGGGTCAATAACTGGGTCATTGCAGCAGGAAAAACATAGGATACAGATAACAAAAAAAAACATAATCCAGGTAGAAAAAGAAATCATTACAAATGCACATTTTTAAGCAGGGAACACATGCATTGGATACCAGCATAGAAGTTAAAGACAAAAATCAATTTAAAAAAAAGATAGAACAAATATAGTCCAGTGACTCATGACGGCTCAACTCAGGTTGTCCACTAATTAGAAGTCTGGTGGTTCGATCCCCGGCTCCTCAAAGTGGCATGTCAGAGTATTATTGGGCAAAATACTGAACCCCACATTGCCCCTGATGGCTGTTCCATCAGTGTATGAGATGTATGAATGTATGAAACAAACAAAAACTTTAAACTAATATTAATATTTTTTTTTTTACCAATAAAAGTCTATGATCATTATGGTCAATACTGATGCACTCAAAAGCAGATATTTTTAAATTTAATTTCAGTACCACCATGAGTCTATTTTTCTTCATGGTTGTGTTGCCGTTTTACTGTAACTGTGATGCTTGTTGAAAAGTGTGTAAAAACAGCTTCATTAGCACCTCGCCAGTTTCACCACTTAACACTACGCTATTATTCAGTGTCTGCATTCACACAGAGAGGTTAACACAAATTAATGCAGCTCTAAGTTAGAAAGTACATAACATCTCATTCTCAAACATCTTGGTTATTTCAATTTTTCTATAGAAGGGACATCATTGAGCGCTTTCCTATGCAATCATTTAGAGTGCCATAGCATTACCATGTCATTACTCACTTACAATGATTTCCTTTCAAAATGAATAAAGAACATCCAAAAATGACTGAGTGATTCTTTAAACTTAGCCATTATCAGTTCACCGAGTGTGTTGAGAATGCCTCAAACAAAAGGCAACAAAAAATAAAAGAAAAAAACAGAAAAGAAAAATTGAAGAGATGGAAGCATCTGCATCAAAACTAGCAGTGTTCATGTTGTATATCTACCTCCTTGCTCTTCCAACATCACCATGGTGTTGGTGCCGGTCTGTTTGCTCTGAAAACATAAAATTCACACAAGTTCAGAACCAATGAAAAGACTAGAGATAGTTTTATGAATCATGAGAGATAGCAATGATCAGAGTTGGATACATTTCAGGATGAATTAGGACATTGGCCTTGTTCTGAATTTAAAAATTGTTAAGTTTATCATTTATAAACAAAGTAACTTTTTCCTTGTAAAACTATAACTTGTCTTGTTATCCCAATAATATAAAAATCTTCTCTAATATGATATCAAGCATTCAAAAGACTCAGAGCTAGAACATTAATCAGTCATTGATAGAAAACTTTCCTGATCCCAACATAGATGGGAGCCAGTGATAAACCAACACAGACACTTTCTGATCATTAAAACAGGGCTACATTGGACATGGTATTGTGCTTTGTGTCAATAAGAGAAAAAAACGTCTCACCTCCTCTGCCATCTGCAGCATCCTCCGTGTGCTTTCCAGTGACTGTGGGCGAAAACACAGGATGTGTTGGAGAATAATGAGAAGTGTGGAAAAGCTGACTGTAAACTGAATGAGGAAGAAATACTGAACGAGATAAACAAAAATTGATTTGGAGTGCAGTCATCCCTCAGAACTGCCTTAATGTACCTTGCAAATAAAATGAAAATGGACACACATATTTGTTTTTTGGGACAGCATTTTGGTAACTTGTATTCCAACAGGAGATTGTTGGTTCGAAATAAATCTGACTACACCAGTTCATATTGTTGGGAAAGATGGACCAGATGTCAAACCCAGACAGGGTTTTAAATCTATCCGGCTTCTGTTTAGATTTGTTTGGAATTTCTTAGTCTAATTAATTCAAGCAAACCAGTTGATTGGTGTGAATGGGGCCATAAGAGACTGAGAGGACAGAACAGAAAAGAACCGAACAACAGACAGGAATTAAAAAGGAGACGCAAGGAAGAGAACAAGATAAGAGAGATAAAAGAAATAGAAAGATGCATGTGATAAGAAAATATGTGCGAAGCTATACCATTAATATTCATTAAGATATGAAAGTACACGGCAACAAATCTATAAAACCAGCTCTACACTGTGAGAATCTAAGATTATATATTTATGTTATTGTGAATAATTCAGGTTACATGTATTTCCTGAGCTTATTAGGACTGCAACTGATTATTATTTTAGTTATTGATTAATCTACCAATTATATGTCTAGTGTTCTAGCAGGGAATGTTTGGCATTTTGTTTTAAAATGGCTTCAATGATTAACTAATTATTAAAATAGTTGAATTTTTTTTTCTGACAAACGACTAATTGTTTCAGCTCTAAAGCTTGTATGACTGTTCATTTACTTGGACTGAGGAGAATCCTTGGAGAACATGGACTTGGGACACCAGCTGCAGTGTTGCTGTGTCTAAACCCTCTCTGATCAGATGACTTGGGTAAGGCCGACACTAAAGTTAACAATCTACAGTAAGATGTAGACAAAAACGCACATGCATACACGCAGACAAAAAGTGCTGACGGCAAACTGGAATGCAGTCAGTTCAGGTGAGCTACGCCTTTGTGTCTCTATTAATAGCAAGTGCTTTACAGAGCATCCAAAGGAGCGAGGCACAGAAGCAACTCAGGGCATGACTCCATTGTTACCATCACTAATGAACTGTTAACAAGAGAGAGTGGGGACCAGATTTCTCTTTCTCTCTGTGTTACGTTTGCTCTGAATACATTAATCAGTGAGTTGAGAAACAGACAAACATAAAATTGGCGAGAGGAATATGTTGAGCTCAGCCAGGTTTCTGCTGGCTTAGCCAGAACATCACTTGGGTGGATAAACATTACATTATGTCTCCTAAAATCCTTGAACTTGGCTAATTAAACCCGAAATCATTGCCTTAGCCAATTCCTCCAGATTGGGGTTTTGTGACAAATCTTTGAGATACAGGCAATTGCGTGGTATTTTTATCATTTGTTTGGGATGGCTTAAATGTAAGTACAGGATGGCTCAAATGGAAGCTGCCATGTATCAGGATGATTAGGAAGTATCACACAAACATGACTTTAAATAACTCTGACACAACGCTGAAGAACGTGTAAGCCAGTTTTAACTACTGGACATGCATAAACAGCCTTAAAATTATCAGACAGCTCTTGCTAGACTTCCAAAAGACAGTCTACATAGCCAGCCATGATCTCAGTTTTTCATGAGTGGTTACCCAAAGTGGTAAGTAGTATTAGCAGAAGGACCCTCCCATGCTCTGTCCGCTTTATGCTGTCCTTAGTCAACCAGGCAGCAGCAGAAGGAAGAAAGAGATATAGAGAAAAAACACAGGTTAAGTAAGAAAGCACACAAAGCGAAAAAACACAGTTAAAGAAAAAAAAGAGGAAAAACCCCACAGACAATTAATACAGTCAGAATTACAGGATGGTGAAGTGCACTGCTACAAGCCCAGTTAGAGTAAGTTCATTTGCCTCCATTTGAATCAAATGGCTGATCATATGATGCCCTGGAGTGCCGATTAAACAATTATCTCCTAGATAATAAACGCATAGATATAGCTGACAACATTCAAACTGTCAAAACCACAAAGGGGTAAGGGAGCTATCAGGCTAAATTAGGCGTTAAGCCTCACACACTTCCTAGCAATGCCTGGCTTAATAATCAGCTGTGAATGCAATGGATCTAATTACCCACCCTCTGCTCTTTCGATGCAATATTGCAGCAGCCCCCCAGATTACATGTGTATTTTGTCCAACTGATGCTTTATCATCAGAGCCAAAATTTGCTTTCTTCAACATGGCTATGGTTATAATGATTATTTCATCATGATAATGAAAAATCAATCAATCAATTATTCTGGGCATGGCTAAAAATAAACACTAAAGGAATAGTTAGCATTTTAGAAAATACGCTTAGCTACTTTCTTTTCTATGTTTAATATGAAGCTACAGCCAGCAGGTGATGGGCTTAGCTTCTATTTTTAGACATTCTCAACAAATGGGATAGAGCGTGTTAATTAGTGAGCTTTAGAGGCATGAGGTAGGCAGTTTTTTTTTGTTACCTTTCAACAGAGATGGACTAGCAGTTTCCCCTACTTTCAGTATCTATGCTAAGCTAACTGTCTCCACAATGTCAAACTATTCTTTTAATGCTTTGTAATATCAGTTCTGGCTGCAATCCGTTTTCTTTCATTTTCATCTGAACTGTGGTTCTGTATCTGAGATGCATCTGAAACAGTTTGTGGATAATTAGCATTATATAGATACTCCAGCCCAATCTTCCTTCCTGTGTCAAATACTGATTACCTGCTGGTTTAAAAAGGTGTCTGGTAAAAGGTAGCAGTTTCACCCTCCACAGAGAACAGCGGCTGTGGTCAGGTTAAACATGGTTACAATGAATTCTAGTGGTGACAAGTTTTCACAGCAGGGATAAAAAAAAGAAAAAAAAAGAAAAAAAAAAAAGGGTAACAATTTATTTTAGCAAGCTATAATTTTTGAATAATTTCCTAGGACATCTCTTTGAAAGAACTATGTAATTTGGTACTAAAACCTGGAAAAATAGTTGAGTGAAAAAGAGGCTCTGTATTCGTTTGTGTGACTCTGTACCTCGTCAGTCACTTGGTTGGCCCTCATGGTCATCTGTTCCACAGTCATGTCTTCCATGTTGCTACTGTCTTGTTTGGAGGCTCCTCCTGTGGCACCGAGCTCAATATTTTGCGGCCTGAAAGAGAGGCAGAGTTCAAAGGTTACTCTGTAACATCACATCAGAGGGCATCAACTGTCATACAGCTCCTTGACTCAAACAAATGAGACATGGCTTTACTTTAGCTCGCTATAAAAGATATTCTATGACTACACAAGACCAAAAGCAAATGAATAATAAATAAGGATTAGATGCAGGGAATGCAGTAAAGAAAAGAGAAATCATAATGAAAATATGTAAGATATGTATGCAATGGTATGCATCATATAATATCAATTATACTAAACAGTGCTAAGAGTGTTCATGGTTATAGGTGATATGGTACAGTACAGTACGTGAGAAATGACCATTATGCATTGGGGCTCAGAAACTGCCAAATTGGCTGAGACTGCAGTCATTGTGGCAGGCAGCATTGTGAAACCGAATGCCTGTAGGTACTCAAAGCACTCCTTCAAACATCCAACCATCTCAGCTGAAGACTAAGATGGTTGCTGAGGGTGCCTCTTAGGCCATTCATCTCCTTGTGGAGGGGGTTGAAATGGGTTTACCAGTGTGTTTGTGATTTTGGACCTTGTCCTCCCCTCAACCTCCTCTTCACACTCTACAACAGAGCCTGCCGATCTGACCAGTTTATTGAGTCTGTGTGCATCACCAGCCAAATTACCACCTCCCCAAAAAATAACAGCAAAGAAGAGTGCACTGGCTACGACTGTTACATACAGCATGCAAAGCAGCCTGTTGTACACATTGAATGACCCGAGCCTCCTAGAGAAGTAGTCTGCTCTGTCCCTTCCTATAGAGGGCATCACCATTGTCTGACTCAATCACAATTAACTGAAAATTAATTAAGTCTGACCACTTTCTCAAGGATAATACCGATGTTGATATTTAAGTACAGCCATATTTGTTTTTCAACATAAACACAAAAAATATTAAAGAGGACTGAACATTACCTCATACATGAAGTTTGTTTAGCATTTTTTACCTCAGTTTCTTACATTACATGTATTGACTGACAAATATTCCAATACCAATATATCCGTGATAAGATAACATTTGCAGATGGATTAAATGGACCGATTTATTGGCAGATTCCAATTTTTTTTAAAAAGGTAGGACTAGTTTTTTAAAATTTATTTATAGCTAGGAATAGACATTATCCAAGTAAGAGCACCAAATGCTGGTGACAGCTTCTGAATATGGTATAGGAAAACCATTAAGCCAAAGTAAGCCAAATTACTGACTTTGATTCGGAAAAAATAACCAATACACAGCGAATAAAAACGTTGATGTCTGTCCTGATGTTACCTTTTAAGTGATGTACATCCAAAGCAGTGTTACCTTAATGACGTACATCAAAAAGTTTTGGTTTGTAAAACACAGTAAAAATAAGGCAGAACCTACAAAGCCTTACAGTTACTTAGAATTTCGGGTTATGGGAGCTCCAGCTCAAGAGTTATTAAGTTTTCATAGTGGAAAAAACCCTAATATCTCCTGGCAAAGCAAGTCAGGGTTCAGTTCTGTATACCATTTGTAATCTTAAATATGGAGGAGCACATTCAGGGACCAAGCATTAACTGCATGTTAACAGCAACATATATTCATGTCACATATGGAGAGGGAAGAAGAAGATGCAAAACTTTAACAAATTAGGCTCTACTCCTTCCCCTGAATGAGTGTTAGTGAATGACTGAACACATACAGCAGGCTTGCTGATAAAGGAAACAAAAATCTGTTTCAATGATGAAGCAAAACTATCTGTTTGGGAGCCTACAGCAGTTCCTCATTGATGTAAAGCTTAGTGAGCAGTGTGGTAGAATCATATATGCCATCAATGAGGGAACTGAGATAAGGAGGCTGCGATAGGGAAATCAGAAGCATGAGACGGAATGCATATAACTGGCAGAAATACGTAAGTTACTGAGGTTTAGTACAATACTAAGACTAGATGAGAAGTCAGATAAAATTAGGTATTAAAAAACCATTTAGAAAGTAAAGCAAGATATCATTACGGGTTAAGGGGAAAAGACACCTAGGTCTAGTGTCCACAGATAGTATGATTTCCCTGATCACATCAAGACATACTGAGCTTAAAGCACACTCTGCATTCAGATCAACATTTAGATTTCATGATCTTGCACAATATGTACAGCAGTGCGGTCATGAAGTAAGGAAGTGTCGATGAGAAGCTTTTACTTTGAACCAGCAGCAAAGTGTGTGATCATGGTTGACTGCTAAAGACCACTTGTTGTGAAACAGGACATTTTTCAATGCTTTCAAATAAATTTTAAACACTGCAAAGGAGGAATGGGCTTCAGAGCTCAGATAAACAGAAGAGAACAAGAATTAATGCAACTGTTTGTTAGATGAAGGTAAGAACAGGACTGTTTGAGTATGGTAAAAGGGTACAGCAACCCATACAGTACTTTGCAAGGAAAACATAGTTGTAAAAAAATTACAGAATGGTTTCCAAATACATATATACAATGACAACATCAGGAACTTGAGTAATAGGTGTGGTTTTGTTTAGTTTTTCTAGGTAATCCATTCGGAGACACATACAGTATGTAATTTATAATTCTGATCAGATGAGCCAGGCTACCTTGCGATATGGTTTAGCAGGTATAAATCCAATCCATTTAACCTGACCTCGACCTTTATGCAGTCAAGGATCTCAAGAAGCACTGAAATTATTGGTAATAGCAGCTTCAGACAGGCTTTGGTGGACATGGCAACATATTATCAAGATAGGCATAAGCAAAGAATTAGGTTGTTTTTTGTGTTGCAGAAAGACTGCACTGTCAAGGACAGAGGCAGTTGACTATAAACACAAAGCTCTGTCTGTATTCAACGTCTAAGATTTTAAAATTCTGACAGATAGAGCGATGCCAACATTCAGGAAACCCTGCTCATTTCCCTTTTCTTTTTCGTCCTCTCCTGTCTTCCTTTCCTTCAAAGTTCAAGCGCCATTTTCCTGTTTTGCAAATAACCCCTGAACTTCAAGTTCCCTTTCAAACCTACAGGAACTAAACATTCTGAGACAAAAAAAAACATGGATAGTCTACTTGGCAGACAGATTAGAGGATTTAATGCTGTTGACTCTGCATTTTTTTTTGGACAAGAGGGCACTTGGTTCACTCAAGCTTGACTGCTTTTTCTAACTGATTATTGGACTTGGCAAGACACTGACGTGAGTTTACAAATGTAACATTGAAGGCAGACTGACTCACACATGTTGTGCTCTTTTGAAATGCCAAGCCACACAGGAGATGAACATGTCAACACTAAAAGATCAATGTTATATGTGCCAGTAAAGCAGGTGTGGTATAGCTGGGTATTGATTTATCCTTATGATTAAGTGATGAGAAGACTACACCAAAAGCCAAAAACATTGACACCACGCTACATGTGTTCACGGCCACAAGATTAATTTAGCAAGCCTAAAAGACATACCCATTCATGTTGTAGTTTCTTCACAGCACCAACAGCAAGTGGCAAAAACAATAACTCCTACAGGGAAACACATTTCTGGTTCTTCTACCCAAACCTGTTCCTCCAGATCTGAGAGCCACACACACTGACGTCCTTTCTTATCCCATCATGCTTTATTTTTTCTTTTACATACAACCATGAAGGCTGTAGTTTTTCAACAGTTTTTCCTACAGTGTTGTACTCAGTGACGACAACACATTTATTCTGGTTAGTTGTGAAGTGTTTTGGACAGGGTGGTTGACTGATAATGCTGACCTAAGGGCATAAACAAAGAACACCCATGACATTATGCTGTACAGAAAAAACCTAAACCGTGAGCTTTTATTTCTTGCAGAGCATGATTTATAGAGGACAACAACAAGTGTAAGCATTTTTCACACCAGTTGCCAATCGAAATTGAAGACTCATGGAAAAGTATAGGACACGTTGTTAATCATTTCCGTTTGTTGAATTTAAATAGGCGCTATGCTTCCACATACCTGACCTTGAGTATCTCATAAACAGTGGAGTAAAGTTAAGTGCTGAGCAACTATTTAACATGGGTCACTTGACAAACAGGTGAGTTTAGCCTAAATGAGAAACACGAACCATAAGCATAAAAAGAGCAGTCCTCCACACCCAATACACCGAAGTTGTGGCAGTAAAATCCCAAAACACTACTTTCAAACAAAATGAAAGAGTTGAAAAGAGAGGGACAACAGAGTCCAAAAGTCTCCCAAAGCAGATTAGAGTTTTCTTACATTGTCTGAAAAGTTGCTCTAGTTTCGTGAACAGGGCAGGATCCGGGAGCAACTCGTTAACCTAGCTAATGTATTGCTAGCTTGGTAGTTAGCTAGTTCCGCTTTCCAGTCAGCTGCCTAATAACGCCACGACTGAAAACAACTAACTACTAGAGTGGAAAAGGAACAGAGATATTTATGTAGGGAGTCAGTACTTACAGTTAACCCTCCTTGTTTTAGAAAATTAACTTGCAACTCCTCCTCTTTCACGGTATGTGAACTTGGCATCCGGTAACTTCTGGATTCCTTCAGTGGTTCCACCGTCCGAAGTGTGTCGGTTGGTGCATTTACGTGCTGTCGGAAATATTGCGATTCCAACGCCAAGATAAAGTAAGCTAGTCGGAAGTGTTCGGACGCTCAAATAAAAGTTGCGCATTCAGAACTTCACCAAACTAAATATCCTGAAGTATCACATGTAAAAGTCCTTATAAAGGATAGTAACTCATGTTAGACATTGACATTGTGCTTCCCCACACACTACCAGCTTTTTTGTTTTAAATTACCCAGTCAATTTTGTTTGAGCTGTTGTACTTCAGATTGTAACACTCAGAGCAATGAGCTTTCCATGAGCACTGGAACGCAGCACATGATGGTGCGCACGTCCTGTCATATGACTCCAGAGAAAAAAAGAGGCGCTGCTCATTTTCCCCACATGAGTGCAGCATTTACCCTTCACCCAGACCTCCCCCTCGCCCCCTCCCCCTCTTCTCAGTATCTTACATGAAGACAGACTGCTCTGCTGGATATTTTTCATAGTGTTTCTGAGAGATGCTCTGTAATCTGAGCCTCTAGCATCGAATCTGCTGTGTAATTCCCCAAGTTTTATGGTTTAAACCACAAAAGCCTGTTCAAGGTGACTGCAAAGGCACCGGGCAGAGTGCCAGCCAACATATCAACTGACAGTGTCCAAAAGGCAAGTGTGTTTTTTTCGTCTCTAACTGCAGCTAAATATTTTTCCCAGTTGGGTCACCTACAGCTAAATACCTACAAGCTGAACATTTCTTAACATCTCTAAATTTACACAAGGGAGAGCTCCAGAGCTGCCCTCACCGAACTGCCTAGGTGCCTGAATGGTGCCCAGCTCTCTCTGCCCATGTATCTTTTATAGAGTCTACATAGCATCCATTATTCAGCAATAACACACGGTCCATCTGGACTGCTGTGAGTGTGTGTGTGTGAGCATGTTTGTCTATGCATGGGTGTGTGGTCCATAGTTAACTTTCCTGCCGTGCCATTTCACCATTTCACGCCACATCCAACAGTGCTTGAAGAGCTAAGAATTAGTATTTCCTCTGTAATTACAACTGAGGTATAATATGTGTGTGTGTGTGTTTGACGGAGGATGTGTGTGTGTGTGCGAGAGAGAGAGAGAGAGTGGGAGAGGAAGGAAGCGGGGAAGAGAAAGAATAGAAAGTAGTGAGAGAAAGAGAGATAGATTAAGTGAATGTGTAATAGTGACTACAGATGGCACGTTCACGATCAAGCTCTTTCATCATGCCTTTTCTCATTAATAGAGATGGGAGCGCTGCCCTAATTCCATAATTCCTAAATCATGCCAGTTAGCTGAGTATGAGGAGACAAAAGTACATGGGAGAGAGAAGAATAGATTAGCCTGTAGCCTAATAATGTGACTGCAAGAGCGAGAAATCAACAGAAAAAGAGATGAAGAGACAGAAAAAAAGAGGAAAAGAATGGAGAAGGGTCGCCATCTGCATTTCCCGGCTTTCCTTTTTGTTTGTTGCCAAAACCAATATCATATAGGCCAAAATTATTCTCGCCAATTATTGTCCCGCATGTACGCCAGCCAATGAAATTAGATAAAATAATCAAGTGATTAATTAGATTTGGAAGAGAATACATGGCGTAGTATAATAGTTTGTGTATGTGCATGTGTGTGTCAGTGACATAGCCCAGATCACTAGTTTCTAATGATTCCACGGAGCACATCTGTTCATTTCTGGCTCCGTTCCAGTTGTATCGCACATCCACCTTTCCTCTTAGACATGGGAAGTTTTCGAGGCCGTGCTTGATCAAGCTTAATTTTACATTGGGCTAATTCCACTGGTACCTGATACTTGTCAGGACAAAGAAGTGGCTGACCAAGCTTGCATCTCAATATTCAGAGATAATTTCATTCCCTCGTCTCCTTTTCGCTGGAATCTACTCTTTCTCCGTTTGAATTGAGCTCTCATATGAAGCAATTTGATGGAAACTAGAGACATCGATAGCCATTAGCCCGCTTTGCACAGGACGGCCAAACATGGCAAGCCAGGCCTCATCTATTATTCATAAACCTTAGTTTTCCCTAAAAACAACATTTCTGATATTCTTTTTGCATCATGCTGCCAAAAGAGACGAGTCGGTGGTTTCAAATAACGCTTTTAAAACAGGGCTGATAAATGTTTCAAGATAGCACTGGCCCTTACAAGCCCCAATAGGGGAAAGTGTCTATTGTCTATCTTTTCATGTCTGGATCTTGTGGAAACACACAGAGCTCAAAGAAGAGAGGAAACATTTCGTATTCACTTTTTTAGACATTTAGCCTTCAGGCGTCGCATGTAATGGTAACGTGTCTTGCTCAAGGACGCATGATCAAACCTGTGTTCTCAGTTTCAGAGCAATCTGTCTAACTAGTAGGCCACAGTAGTGCTAAAAGTATTCAGATCCTCACTTAAAGTTCCTCTCCAGACATGTTTTAAACTCTGTAAAAATACTCTGCTATGATTATTATTTTGTTTAACATGGTTTTCCCACATAAAAAAATGGAAAAAAAAGGAAAACTGGGCCTGGAAGCACATCTACACTTACTTCCTTATTGAGAAATCTGGATCAGGCATTGTGTCCTGCCCACCATTGCTGCTCGCGCTAGGTTAACAGGTGAAAGAGCAGTGCGTATCGAGATGGTTAATCACATGTTTGAGCCTCAGTCAGACCCAGACTCAGGAGTTTTTGAGCAATATGTTGTGCACCAAAATCAGGGACTCAAAGATGTATCAGAACGGTATGTGTATTTAGCATCTTTTATTTGTTTATGTTGTTTGTTAGCTTGTAACTGGCAGTGGCTGACACAGTGTTAGTGGTGGTACCAATGTAAATTCTCGCTCTCTCTACTGACAAGGTTTTGGGTTTATTTTGCCCGTCCCTGTAAATTGACAGGATTTGTTCCTTGGGTTATATGAAGTATGAAACCCTCACTGTCTGAATCTGTTTTTTATGAGACTGTCATTGGGTCACTGCAGTTCCAAGGTGAAAATACTCATGGCATGGCACTGACTCCTTATTTTGCTCATGATATGTCTCTTATTATATAAAAAACATCATAGGGACATGTTAACAAGGTTAAAAACTTGATTTTCATCAGAGGGGGTCTTTAAATAAAAGTACCAATAATCCAATGTAAAAATACTCTGACATGACCTGTATTAAAAAACCTACTTGAGAAAAGTATTAAAATGTTATCAGCAAAATTTGAAATATTGGATCATTTTTAATCTTTGGGCCTTGAACATTTATTTAATGAAACCATGTTAGAAGATGAGGGGAAATCCTAACAACTCCTAAGCCAAGTTTCCATCCAGATGAAGCAGACATTTTCACCAAATTTCCAGAAAATCAGTAAAAGCATATGTAAATGAATGTACTTTTACACCCACGACTGTTATGCAAATATTAGGCGTAGGGCACATCGAGATAAACAGCTGGCAGTGCTAATTCTCCAAGCCGGTGCCAGAGGAAGAGGGCACAATGAGATGAAGTAATTGAAAGAGCACCAGTCAAACCTCAAAATGGAAAATGCGATGGAAATACAGCATTTGTTGCTTTGTTGCGCCGATGTTTACTGAATTTTTCTTTTTGTCAATACACTTCAGTCATGCTTAAAAAAATGCTTTTTTTTCCTTTTTTTCGCGATATTTTCTACACAGGTTTTTTTTTATGTGCAGATTGAAAATATGCATGAATTCAGGTGGATAGAAATGCACTTCCAAACATCTGAAAAGTGACAAGGGAATCTTTTTTGTAAGGGCTCACAATCCAAACACGTTGGGAACCACTGGGTAAATTGTGTATTTTATAAGCTCATCATACGCGTTTTTATGTAAAATCTGAAAATAAAAGAATAAAAGTACAATATTTTTCCTCCAAGATGAAGTGGAGCATAAAGTGTAAAGTAGCAGATCATGAAAATACTCAAGTAAAGTACCTCAAAACTGTACTTTAGTACTCGAGTAAATGCACTTTTATCACCCGTAGGCCACCCTGCTGGAAATCTGATGGAAACAAGACAGGAAGGGCTATCAAGCTATTCAGTCTCCATGTTGTCAGCAGTTCAGATTAGCTGTCACATCGCTGAGGGAGAAACAGATGAAGATTGGAGAGGGTGATTTCATCTGAATAATTTCATGCTTTGACTGGCAGAGCTCAGTGCTCACCGTCCCAAGACTTTGACGTCAGAGGAAGATAGACTGGGCAAAATAAAGACCCGGGTGCTGTCTAATACATGAATACAATCATTTGTCCTTTGAGGGGGGAAAAAAAACATTATATGAAAATTAATTCACATTTCTACTAAAGAAATCTCACTCGCTTGGCTTGTTTTTTTCGAGTAGACAAAAAGACAATCTTTATTTGTGTGTTTCTCTCCTTGCTCTGACTTCTGTGTTTACTTTTGACTGACTGACTTTAATGACTGAGGTCAGCTTCCACAAAAAACACCACAAACAGAAAAGGAGACAAACTCATACATGACGCTCAGACCTGGAGGCATCCTACCACTACCGACCATTGGATCACAAACCAGAGAAGAAGAAGAACGATAGAAGGACAGCATCAGTGGAATAGAAGAAGAGAAGACACATTTTTTTTTAATCTTCCACAGGCTATACCCCATCACTGCATCCCACACAGGAGTAATTAACAGTGATTTTAAATGCTACAAAAATAAGATGAAACAGGGAAGGAGGTGCTTCCCCTTGTTTGTTTGTGTGTGTGTGTGTGTGTGTGTCTTTGTACATGTGTGTATGTGCATGCCATGTCTTTGTAAATGTCTAGATCTGCATGTGCTTTTCTACATATGTCTGCATGTGTGTGCGTGTGTGTGTATCTGTACATGGGTCGTTTTGTGTGTGTGTGTGTGTGTGTGTGTTCACAGTGCTTACTCATTATGCTCACTTCCCAACATTAAAGAAGTCTCAGTCCCATGATACACACACACTTTCTCTCCCTCTCCCTCCTCTGCTCGCTCTCTCTTTGTGCTGTTCCCTTTATAGTCATGTCCACCATCTCAGAGGAACAGCCTCGTTATCAAAGACTGCGTGTGTATGTGTGTGTGTATGTGTGTATATGTGTGTGTATGAGTGTATGTGTGCATGCCCATATGTGTGTTTTTGTGATGCTACCACACACACCTCGCCTCATTTGCCACAGTCTATGCGCTTCCCTTATTGGTTTAACCCTCAGGCCCAGGACCAGCTTCAGTCAGTGTTTACGTCCATTGCGATCTGGTCTGGGCTCCGAGGGCTGATTTCCAGTCAGTTTCACCCTGTGGGTCCATTTATCTCCCGGCCCAAACTAATCCATCAATGACCGAAAGCCAGACAGGAGAAACCGTGTGAGGAGAGAGGTTGAATTTTCATTTTTGATGTCTGAAAAAGTCTCAGCGAGAGCAAGAGAGCGGTAGCAGGGTGTTTCTGATTTTCCCCATGAAAAAATATATCATCATTACAAACAAGATTGATCTGAAGGTTTCACAGTGGTCATGCAACTTGAGTGTCGCCTCCTTTTCTCACCTGTCCTCCGCTCATCCTTAACTTCACTCCCAGCCCCTCCCTCCCCCTCCCTCCAAATCCCCATTCATCCTGCCAGTCCGAGAGAAGGTACTGTAAGTGACCACAGTCATAATAATACAGAAAGACAACGAGGTGGGTGACCAGTGGTACATTCATACATGAGAAAGTCATGGTTCCAAAAGTCACCCGACCCAATCGACATTAGACAGTGCTGAAGACGCCTGTGCTGGCCAGGCTGTGATAAATGCTTTGTTTAGAAACATGAATAAGACAAAACACATCCCACCTGAAAATATACACCTCACCAAACCCACCCAGAACACCCACCCACACACACACACCCTACCCTCCTACTGAAACAGGCTATGGTTATACTTGTCATTACAATATGATATCTGAGCTCCTCATGAAAAAAATCAAACTGTTCAAGATTTTTTATATCACGTTGCCGTGAATCTACACTGGGTCTGAAAATATCAACACATATAATATTACATTTCCCATATGGACGTATTTATTTAAATCTGTGCCCGCATTGTTTTCCCCCTTTTTTTTCTGCACATCATTCCAGGCCTCTTTCCTCCTCTTCATCTCCATGCATTCGCTCTTATTCTCGTTGTGGCTGGAATTCGTCCAGATAGTATAGAATTCCAATTACAACGCAAGCTTGGCCACTTCCAATTCTTGGTTTGAGGATGAGATAGCAATGTGGGCAAAATCCAATTTTTGTGCATCCAAGCCTATCGCTTAATGCGTCCTGCCGTGATTGGATGATAGGAATTGCACTGGAACGACAAGTTTAATCATAGCCATGGCTATATCTACCCCATCAGTGGCCAAGAGTCAATAGTCAAATCAAAAGGACCCCCTGATATGAGTGCAGAGACATTTCCCTTGTGTTTTTCAGCTGAGAGGTGCTGTTCCACCCAGAGTTCAGGGATCAGAGATGAAGGGCAGGTTCCCAGGCAGCTCAAGACCCAGCCCTCTCAGCCAGGCCTGGGAAGGGTGTCCGTGGCTGGGCCATGGAGGAGGCTGGCAGTGGGGGTGGTTGGTGGTCGTATAGAGGTGGAAGGTGGGAGGGGGGGAGGGAGGGAGGGGACGGGTGGGACGGAGACAGAGGGCTTCCCTGAGGGGTGGTGGATTTAGAGGGACAGCCAGCCCAGCTCAGCAACCCTGGGTGGAAACTCCAGGAGGCCGGGGAGAGGGGTCACAGCCAGGAGAAGAGTCCCAGGAGCAGTGGGGCCAGAACAGCTAACAGCACCATGGACCCTGGCCTCCAGCTTGGACCTCCATCAGTCAGGAAGGGCTCCGGAGAATCATATCCCGATCCATCTGAAACAGAAATAAGAGAGAAAAGAAAAACGACAAAACATCTGAACTGAGAGGGATGAACAGACAGATACAAAGACAAGACAAAGTGAACACACAGGGAATTGGATTTAGAGACAAAGGGTAGACAAGTGGAACTATTAACGTGGAAAGTGAGCAACAAACCACAAAAGTCTCACCCTTCAACAGCCAAGGAAAGGCTGAGAGAAGATGGCAGAGAAGGATGAGGAGAGGAAAGGGGGGGGGAGAAGACGACAGCAACTGAGCTCTGCAGGGGGTTTAACCAACCTAATTACAGTTTAATCACAGAGACTCGGAATCTGGAGCAGCTCACACCCTCACACACACACAAAGACACACATCCACTCACACACACACACACTCACACACACACACACACGTGCAACCGCTCACAAATCACTCTAGTGACAATATTTTACAGATGAGATGGAAGTTGCACTGTCAGACAGATTACTTTAACAGCACAAAAAAAGAAAAAAAGCAGAATCTCAAAGAGGAGCTGCAGCAATGACAGAATAAAAGAATGTATGTTGTTTCAGTAATTAGGGAGGAGGAGAGAATTTCCTTCCCCCTTAGCGGAAGATGGAATGATCTGATCCTGGAAAGCTGCGAAGGCCGTCTCTCATCCTTGTACGAAGATCTTCAAAGCCGCGTCATTATCTAGGGAGACGTGTTACTACCCGGGTTTGATTCTTTAGTCTGGCTTAAGGTTGAAAACTCATGAGGCAGAATCTGCCTTTGAAAAAGAACGTACAGGTAGATTTTTCAAGATAACGCAAGTGTGGTGTAATACCTGCTGCAATCTGATCACCATGTATGCCAATCATGTGTTGAGTTATTTTTAAATGGCGCGATCATAGGCCAACATGGCACTCTTGTGTCAGCATTGCGCTCCCTATGAGGGAGCTATTTTCAAGAGTGTAGCTTACCAGACTGTTTTTTGGGGAAAAAAAAGAAGTCATGCTTCATCTTTTACCACACGGCTCATGCATAAGGAGAATTTTATTAAAATTATGAAGTGTCTATTATTAGATTAGACTGCTACTGTATGCGACGGGTTTATTATTAGATTGCTCCCTCGTTTCTTATGAGTAAATCTGGCCAGTAGAGTGATGTTGAGGCTTGGTAACATTTTTTAGAGAGCACTTTCAGCCTCCTCTGTTCTCTTTCTACAAGGACAGAAGGTCTCCCTCACACCCGGTGTGATGTGATGTGATTTGATGTGAAGTGCGTATGCCACTTTGTGCCTGTGTGCATGTGTGTGCTTCTCACAGTGTGTGTGTGTGTGTGTGCGTGTGTGTGTGCACGCTTGTGTGTGCTTGTATGTGTTAATGTGCCAGAATGTGTGTGTGTGCGTGTGTGCAAAGGTGTTAAAGTGTTGCCTGGCTGGTCTGTGAATCAGAGCAGAGAGTGTTGCCGGGGCATTCTATCAGACCTCTTATTCCCCCCTAATTTTACTTTGATAGCCAATCTGGACCTTCGTGTATATGTGTGAATGTGTGTTTGTGCACGAGCGTGGATGTGTAGTTAGAGCGTGACTTACCTGGAGGTCTGACATACACCTTCAGCTTTAGACATGCCCGCCCCACATGGTTTGGGTGAGGAGACGCTGTAAAAAGCAGAGAGATTGAAAGAGGAGATTAGTTGAGAGATAAAGTGATTTGTGCTTCTGATTGCAAAAATGTAATTGAGGACATTTAATAAAAGTTTTTTTTTTATATTATTCTGTCACTTGTGGGCTGTGAGGCTTATTATCAGGTGGTTGGTTGGCATAGGAGTGAGAGATTGCTGTGACTGTGGCTCGATTAACCCACTTGTGGTAGCAAAAAAAAAGCTGTGGGCCCCGTATTCACTCCCATCCCCCTTCCTCTCTGTCTCCATTATCTATCCTGTCACTTTCAAGTAAACGAATTAAACACACATTTATTTAGTAATATGCAGCATATAAAAGTAGATTTGACATAGGGCACCTCAAAAAGACAGGACCAACAAAGAATTCATCCTACTCAACTATTGTGTAGGCGCCAAAGCCTGATATATCATATTCCATTATGCCAAAGACAGGACATGTTCCGTCATTATGATGAACTTTGGCACTGTCGTTTATTCTGAGTCACTCCCACATAAACCGTCCTGCTGCTGTCCTGGCACCAGAGCACCAAATGTGGATTAATCTGCATGTGAAAATGGTCCCCGACAAATGCACTATTTACCTCTTATGAGTGATGTTTGCTAAAAACTACAGTGCCCATCAGATTTTAAAGAAAAATGAATATGCCTTTTTAAAAGATAGAATTATATATATATATATATTTTAAGATTCATGTCTTCAGTAGGAATTCATGAGCTTGGGGCTGAGTGCTGCAGCCAGGGAGGTAGAGTCAGAAAGTATTGAGAGATAAACAAATTATTAGTTTTGGCCTTCACATTGAATTTGTTGACAATAAGAAAAATATCCTCTAAGTAATAATACAGGACCTAGCAATATCAACTGTTATCCTTTCAGGTGATATTGTAATTTAGTTGCGCCTGCTCTCAAACAAATTCTCAATTATTTGAAATATCACAAACCAGTTGATACACAGTGCACCTGAGGTTTTCAAGGCTGCTGGGGATTTGGATCCCTCCCAGTCGATAATCCAGCATTGGACAGTCAATAGCAATTGTCAGGAAGACACCAAACCTCAACATAATCCACCCCAATCGCATTAAGCTCCTGTACCTATTCATGGGATGGCAGGGAGACACACTGGACAAATACACAACCAGATAAGACCAAAGACAGTGGAATTAATAAATCTACAGACTTCACTGGAGGACGGTTTAGGACCGTCTCTTGCCAGAAACTTGGAAGTCTGTGAGGGGCTTCGATGCTGACCTCTTTTTGTGTGATGCAGATATATGCAGACATATCTTCTTTTTCACTGGGCGATTGTTACCACAGCTACAAAACTGTAATCACGCTTGGTATAAATATGTCAGAGATGGTCTAGGTCAAGGTTTTAAAGCAAGGAATGTGATTTCTGTGCAAGTTACACTCAATAATTTGTTATAATGTAGTCATTAATACAGCCTATTACATTTTCGGTGACATTTATTGCTTGGAGCATTTGGAGAGTTTCTAATATTATGTCCTTTTAAGTTCTCTTAAACCCATGCTCCCAAGCTTGTGAACTCCGGTAAACATACGAAGCACTTGAGGCAATGTAAACAAGTCTGTGAGGGATGAGCCAGCACACTGGGATTCAGTCACACTCACATTCATACCTTAGGGAAATAACCGAGTCTTAAATCGACCTGACTTGAATGTCTTTGGAATGGGGAGTGAAATCCATGCAAATTCCCCACAGACGGAGGTCCTTCTTGCCGTGAGGTGACAGTGCTAACCACAGAGCCACCGTGCTGCAGTGGCTGAATGCCGAAAAAAAAAAATGAGAAAAATGTTAAAAAGTTACTGTGATTCAAACTTCAAAGTAAAGTAAACGAAATTGAATCTGGGGTTTTAGTCCCACCTCACTCTGATGTGAAATAGAGCTAGAGACCTGAAAGGAGATGGTGGCCAACGCGCAAACACACACACACACACACACACATATGCGGATGTGCAAAGGAATGCGCTCACACAGTGATGGTTCCATTGCAGAAGTGTGTGTGTGTGTGTGTGTGTGTGTGTGTGTGTGCGTGGAGACCTATTGGCCTTCTCCCTTGAGGAAGTCCGCATAGCCAGAGCCCACCGTGACCCGAGAGAGGACCATCATCAAGATCCACAGCGCACAGGAAATAAATCTGACCCTTCCCTTGCCCTCTCCTCCCTCTCTTTCTACCCGCAACTCCTCCCTCCATCCTTCTCTCTGCCCTTCACCTCCTTTACCCTTTTATGCCTTCTCTATAGGCCACTTCCTTTGCCTCAAATTTCTTCAAATCATCCACCTACCTTCCACACAGTGTGCAGAGAAAGTGTATTGTGGTCCCCTATGAAGCGCTGCTGGCATGGAATCCAGCTTTCTGTCCTGTTGTATGTCTTTGTTTCGGCTTCCCCACTGTTTCACTGAAAAACGGCAACGCTACGGGAGAAAGGGCTAGAAGAGGAGAGATATATATCCCCCTCTCTTTTCCCCTCCTTCTCTTTTCTCCATGCCCTCTGACAATTTTCACTTTTGTCATTTCTTTAAAGTCTTATCAGCTCTTCCAGCGCCACTGTTTCCCAGCACATCCACAATCCAACGTCTCCTGAAAACCCATTGAAAATCACTCAACCTCATCAGATGGCAGCTGGGAGAAGTAAGAGGTGGAGCAGACCTGTCAACATGTCAACCACATGACAAATACACACAGCGGCGCGCACACACGGGCACACACTTGCGCAGGTCTGGCCACAAATCACCATCAAAGATTGATGCGTTTTACTCTGCAGAGTATCGGTGGAGAGGACACACACACACACACACACACACTCATCGGAAGGGCTGGGTGGTTAAAACTGTCACACACGGTCGTTCCACATCAATACTGACCTGTGCACGTTTGTGTGTGTGTGTGTGTGTTTGTGTGTGTGTGTGTGACTGTGTGTGTGTGTTTCTCTGTGCATGTGAGAGACAGCGAGAAACAAGAATGTGTGTGTGGCTGTCAATCAGGATGATGGACATGGCCTTTCACGGACTCACAATTGCTTGACAACTGACCCCACAACCAGCCCCACCTCACCCCCCACATCACATACACATACACACACATGTATTCACACACACTCTCGTCTTGTGACACACACACTACCCCCAGGGGTCGCAGAGACACAATACTATAGTCAGCAACTATACAACTCTGGAGAGGCCCTGTCCATCCTTACATGAGGCTGAAAACAAAAGAGTGTGTGTTTGTGCGTGTGTGTGCTGACTGGGAAAAGTGCAGAGGGACATCAGGTGGCTGTTAGCTTCGCCTCTTTAGCTCGCTGACTCCCGCCTGCTGTGTCTTTGACAGTGGAGACAACAGACTGAGGCAAAGAATATTTGCAAATACTTTTTCAACAAATAGTGTTGCTTTTATCTCATTATCCTTAAAATCAATCAAGTACTGATGATGAATACATTACAAAATGATATTACTGCCAATACAAATAAAATCTGATCACGCTAATGCTATGACAAATTGAATCCAAACCTGTGTCAATATCTGGATATCACTGTGAGGTCAGAATCACTGTCCAAGGACAAAAGAAAACTTGTCAAAGAAATATGTTGCACCTGCGTGTCAACCTTCACCTCATCCCGTTATGGTTCATGGTGAGAATGCATCATCTCCTACTAACAAAGCTGAGGTCAGACTGTGCAGGGATAAATGGAGAGACCCGTACCAGGCTGTGAGGTGACAGAGACGCTTCATGTCTGATTAGAATCATAGTCCTTTGTCTGAACAATACACTGAGTGACATGAAAGTAAAGTTTAGGACTAACGTGATAACGCAATAACTTCCCCAACACTATTGACTTTTAAAATGTTACATTTATCCTAGAATGTGATGCTAAGTTTGCACACTTCAGCCTGTCGCTACACGGCAGATCAAAACTGTCCTCAGCAGAAAAAACGAACCGAATGGATCATTTGTTCAAATGCTTCAAAACATCCTGTGCATGCATTTTCCTGATAAGTGACCTCTTGTGATTGTGTGACTTATGACTGTTCCCTTTTGGGAAGATTCACTTTCCTTTCATATTTTTCCCAGCTGGTCTGTGAATTCAAACAGGCGAACCTCTCGTCTAAACTGCCTGCACACTCCTGCAGCCTCAAACACAAAGTGGCACTTTTCTGTGCGGCGCCAGAAAGTTTGGACATTGACAGCAAAGCTTTTGAAAGTCAATTTAATGTGCTTTTCTGTGATTACCAACTGATCTTGCACTAAATTCTCCGGATGCAGTAAATTTATCCCACCCATCTGGCGCACCGAGCAGCTGAAAACAATGTTTAAGAGTAATTTGAAGCTACTATTTGTCCCATGCCTGGTGGGGGAATGATAGCTTTTTAACTCGGCTCAGAAAAACAGTCTCAGGGGGCAAAGCCCATCTGTGGTACTAATACATCACTTGTTGAAGTGAGGAGAAACATCAATACAGCTAATATAAAAATGATTACAAACTACGCCTAGTGACATTTTTACCACTTTGCTGAGCACACCACTTATGATCTGAACAGAAGCAGAGAGATACATCAAAAAATAAAGAGTGAGAGAGAGGGTAGGGGGAGTGGGTGAGAGATGGAAGGTGTATTTATGCACGCCGGTGGCTGTGGGAATGACATGGTGGGCTGTGTTTGAGAACCCTCTCAATCAGTTTCTGTTGATTGCATATTTACACATCGTTTACAAATGCATATTGAGCAGGAGCGTGGATAACACGCAAACACAGGCACACACACGTGCACACGCACGCAGCAAACAAACAAATAAACACCCTTTTACTTGTGCACACACAGTCTCTCACCCCACACACACACACACACACAAGCGGAAACACACTGCCTAGCTAGGTAACCTACAGATGTAGTAGTACTCGTGTCCAGGCCTGAACTCAAAGCCCAGGGAGAAGGGAGTGAAGAGCTGGAACTTCTCTGAGAAGCGCAGGGGTCCGTCAGGACCGCTGGGACGGTTGCACTCCCAGCGCTTGAAGCCACGCATCCTGTGCTGGCAGGAAGTGTAGCCCTCGTGGTTGACCATGAAGAGGATGTAGCGCTCCATGCGCCCGTGGGAAGGAGGACCCTCATAGTAAGGACAGTAGATGTCCAGATAGTCATTGATATTCACTGCCACCCTGTACTCTCCGTGCCAGAACCTGCAAGATACGAAGGAAAGTGAGTTCAAATTTCTTCAAGGAAAAAAAAACAATCACAAACAGGCCCAGGAATATACACTGAATCAATGAGCAGCAGTAAGAGGGCTGTGGGAATAGTTTACTGAGCTAAGATGAGATCGTGTGAGACGTATACATTCCTACCAAGCTATGAATATTTACGACCTACTGTATATTCGATTTCTGTATGATTGCACAACATAAAGGAAACTGTGGTGAGCATCCATTGAGTGCAGTCATGCTGTGCACTGCAATTACATGAAATTGTATGATTGCTGTTTGGACATTTTTTTGTGTTTTGCACATCTCTGCGATCAGAGGTCACAGTCAGCTACAAAACAGCAACCCTTAGAGGTTCAACACATTGCTCAAGGACACTTCAACAAATGCTTTCTGATAGATGGTCTTTAAACCACCTGAGTCATCACAATACAAAGCAAAAACATCCTTGAGGGTGTTTTTTTTTCTTTTCTTTTACTTATTTAATGAACATAAGAAGGTCAGAAAAATCTATAATAATCCCTCTGGTTACGGCGAAAGTTTGCACAGTAACCAATTTTATTTTAATAAAGTTCGGCGAGCTTTGCTTCATGGGAATTATTAGTATGTTTGGAATGTAGTCTCTTTTTTTCCAGTGGCTGAATGAGCCTACTCGTATGACACTCAAGAGAAGTAGGCCGTGTGATGGAAGAGAGAACGCATTATCATGCCACCCCCTCAAGCAAGTGTATAGAGGCAGCTGTGGTGAATGTCCATGTAGTTCCATACACATGCAGTTCATTGAAGCCGGCATGATGAATGCAAGTGGGTCAGAGGTTAGTGAAGAAGAAATATTAGTATATACACACATTGGAGTGGGTAGGTATTGTGGCAGTTTGCTATATTTCTCCCTCTGGCAATGAGTCAAGGATCTTGTGAAATAAATGCAGGTAACATATGGAAATACTGTACATGAGATGGTGCTTGAACACAGTTGCCATCTCCTCATCTCGATTCAAAAGCCTCTGCTTCTTCATTATAATATATTAGAAACATATGGCTTTTTTTACCAACAGAACACAGGCTCTATTTAAGTTTATGTTATGGTGCCAATGTTGTGTATATGGGAATTGAACGTCTGTTTACAATCTTGAAGTCACTGGAGTGAAACAGTCTCTCTTCAAGGATAAGGCTGGCGATATTCTATATTTTTGTTATTGCCAACAAATGCCATTAAAAGAACAAAACCAACTGTGTATTAGTCTAAACATGTCAACTTCCCTACCCTGTCTGTAACAACCATCCCCAAGCCCTCTGGTTTCTTCTGAGGATGTCGTAAATGTTTAAAAATGGGTGATGAATACATATTTTAATTTTTAAAAGAGGTTAAATCATTTTCTTAAACAGCTCTGGCACTGTTTTTTGTGTACAAGTTAGTCAAACAGGAGCAAATTGTGCATTTGTTAGGGACTATTTTCAGCTGTGGATTAGTACACATTTGTTGACGTATTTATGGCAACAGGATGGTGTATTTAAGATGAACTCAAAATTAAAGTACAGTGCCCACATTCGTGGTTATGTAGAAACATGTCAGTCAGTGTAATGTTGTGGCTCACTGATGTGTTTTTAATATCTTTTGGACAAAAATGGAGCTTTGCAACACAGAAGACTCAGCACCGTACGGCTTTGGACACACAGACAATACTTGTTAAAAGTATCAGTTCATAGCAAAAAATACAGAATATGGCATGACTTGACCTTTAAAACCATCAGAGCTTAATATACTAAAGAATCTCATGTTTACATCCCCAATATGAGACTTTTATTTAAAATTTACAGTATCTATTCGCAAAAAGTTCTTCAAACTAAAACTGATAAATCAATATTTCACATCTGACAATGAATCAATACTCAAAATGTAGCATTTCTTTAACCACAAGTCTTAAAATACATAACATAACTTTGTCTCATGCATAGTTTTGCTTTCATATCAGTCGCCTTCTGTGAGAAAATAGATCAGTATTTATTAAAATATTTGATATTTCAGATATTTTATTTACTAGCACTTACATGAATAATATGTCCCAAGGGCATGACTTGATAATCTCTTTGTTTTTGCATCTTTAACAACCAACGGTAATTCAATATTCAGGTTTCAATATTCTGTGTCTTCAGTAAACCGTCTAACATTTCAGAGGCTGATTAAAATTCATGTGTGATATTTTATTCTGATATCAAATCTCTTTGTGGGCATGTGCATATGTCTGTGTCTGTAGCGACCACTTCTTGTAGTGTTCTTCATTAACGCCATTCATCACCATGGCTACGATCAATTTAATTTCAAATGTACCACGTCAAATACATTTAAAATTCAGCTGCCGCACGTTATCAAATCGTGTTTCTCGAAGCTCGGTAAATTTGAGACGCAGGAAAATGTCTGCAGTCAAATGAGCATAAACAAAGCCAGTTGTCGGGCAATCTCGTCATCTCAGATGGAGTGCACACACACACACACAGATTGAGCTTTTTAAACAAATTCATCATTTTCCCCCCCTCACCTTGGCAGTAATTGATTGCCTGGAATGAAGACATTTTGGTCTAAGCACTTTTGGTTAGTGGGATATTTAGCTTTGGGACAAATTATCCCAATAACGGCAGCCCTATCTCTCTCCCAGAGGGCAAATCAGGAAGTGAGTTAGATGTGAAATGAGCGCCTTCATGCTTCGGTGCCCTATCAGAGCGAGTTTTGCAGGTTCTAAAGGGATCCTTGAACAGATCATTTAGAGGCATTGATCCACTGGGGAGCTCCTCTCGGCTCTCTCTGCTCCCAATCAACTCTGATTAACAACTAAAGGGGGAAAGGCAGAGAGAGAAACAGAAGGCGAAATGCACGGAATGAGAATAAAAAGGACAGAGGGGAGAGAACAGGGGGAGTAAGACAAAGAGAGAGAAACGTGGGGGAGAAATAGAAATACGTGCAGACTGAGGACAAACAAAAGTGAAAGGAGGGGGGCAGGAGGAGGGATAATGAGCCTGCATGAAATGAGGGTAAAAAAAGTCTGAAATAAGCGAAAAAGAGGAAAGAAAGAGCAAAAGAGGAGGAGGAGGCCAGCTGGAGGAAGAGCAGATGGAAGAAGAATTTTCTGTCTTTCATTTCAATTTGTACGACTGTGGGTTTCCATCTGAGACAAATGTGCTTTGCCTATTGATTGTGCACTGAAACATTTATGGATGACTACCATCTGAACATTAGTACTTTGGGTATACAATGAAGTTTGTGTGTGTGTGTTTGTGTGCCTCGATGAATATTTTGTGTGTGTGTGTGTCTGTGTGCTTGGTTAAATGATAAAGTGGCTAAGTAAATGGCTCTCAATGAGTGAGGATGCTCAATCCAAGAAAGGGCTAATGTGCCAGGATACATTAGGTTGTATTAAGCTACTCAGCGCCCTGCCCTGCTCCTGTGACACTGTCTGCATTCCTAATATGCCCAGGAGAGGAATATGTGTGTGCAGACCTGCGTGTGTGTCTGCGTGTGCAGGTGTGTGGCCACCGCACTCCGAGCTGTTAAACAGTACATGCTGGTGTGTGTACTTTTGTGCGGATGAGTGAGTGAGAGTGAGTGTGTGTGTGTGTGTGTGTGTGTCTGCACCGCTTGCTCTAAGGCTGCGTGTCATTTGGAATTAAACACACACACTGCACTGGACAAAAAGACATGAGAATGCACTCACACTTACGGCATGTCTCTTCCTCACAGAACTTATCTGTGTGAGGTGTGTCATTGCACATTGCACATATTGGGGTGTCTTTCTTTTAATGTGCATATGCAGCCATGTTTTTATATAACCACTAATATAATGTTTTATATTAACATAATGACGATATGTTGACAATTTAGATATTTGGCAAGTTCCAAATAGGTTGATACTAAACATATCAGTAAAACATTCACAGACATCGTATTTGTTTTCCACCAAAATGTCAGATTTTGCAACACAATATTCACTTACGGTTAATTTTTAGGCACTCACAGATTTTGGTTAAGGTCACGGAGAGATCAGGTCTGGTTTAATCCATAAAAAGTTCACAGTGACTTCAGACACCATGTGTTTATTTACATGTTAACAAAACCAAGTGATTTTGTTGCCTAAATCTAACAGACGGCGCTCACATCCCTGTCTTTGGTGCGACACGTGCACTTTGTACGCCTGCCATCCGCCAATACCGCATCCTGGCAACTCCACTGCCATTTATAAATGTAGCACTTCATTTAAAAAAAGAAAAAAAATGTAGCAATTTAGTAGCATATATACATATTCTTTAGGAGACAGGTTTGACATATGTGCCTATTTCAAGCTTGTCACATAGCAGTATTATAGCACTTTATTTAAAGGGGTGTGCATAAAGCTGTCAACATACTGACATGAATTAAACTCTTTGAACATTTATGATTATGGTGTAGTGTGGGATGTTTAAGTGTTATTTTTCCTTCCATATATACCTCTAGATGAATTGAGTCTTTCAAGTTTTCCAATATTAGGTTTAGAGCAACATGATATGCTGGTATCAAGTGGAAGTTGCTTAATTATACTCCCAAAATATTCAGTTGCAGGCTACATAAAGCTGATAACTTATGAAATCAAATCAGTGTCCTTATTTAACTTACTGATAAGTGTGTTGATGCTATGTGTGTATTTTTACCATAGCTAAACAAAACTCCACCAACTCCTATATATGTTGTATCACGAGAGTGACAGAAATAAAAAATAACCTCAAGACGTTAGACGTATTTAAATTAAAATGCAAAATAGTTATTAACACTAACAGGCACTAAAAGTTGTGTAATTTAACTGTCAGTCAGCAGGAATCCAGCATAATATCCACAGGCTAGCGAAAACTGAGTCGACTGTCTGATGTTGGCACATGAACGAATCTGGCGAGCCCCAAAGCTCCCAAGCGGCTTCTTTGGCATTCTTCAGCATATAGGCTGCACTTTGTCACGTACA